TCCTAAACTATTTAAGATGAAGATATTTTTCTTTATAACTAATTTATTTCCTCAGCACACTACTAGAAAGCATAGGTCCAGAAGTGCCAATTGCAAAATTTAACAGCCAAAGCAGACATCAACATTTATAAAAGGTAAATTTGTGCTGCTTCAGAAGGTTGCGTACAAGCAAATATACTTAGTGTGATCCAGCTGTACATTCCTGGGGAAAGAATTTGGAGTCATGATATATAAAAGGATCATGGCCATTTGCTGTGAATTCCTGTCGACTCTTTCATCTGTGGGTAACGCATGAATGTATTTCATTTTCTAAGACAAATCCACCAATGAACCTATATCTAAGATTAACAAGCTTTCAAAAACACGAGTGATATAGAATACCATCCCTACAAAACAAAGCATTTTCTACCCAATTCACTTGGAAATCAACAAAGATATGCAAAAATGGTTTTTCAATGTGCTAAACTAGGGTTACAAGAACATAAGTAAAATACTGATTATACACAGCAGCACATAGATACAAGGTTAGACCCCAGTTTCCAGAAAGACATTATATTTCCTTGAAAAAAATAGCAAAAGGGTGATTTTCTCTTTCCCTGTGGTGTTCCTATATGGCAACCCCAAATGTCTCATTATTATTTTAATGCATTTTAAAATGAATCCTGTGGATCAAAATCTACACTCCTGGGTTCTATGGAGATGTCTTCATTTCCGTGGTAAGCAAGCAGGTAGGGGCTGGAGGGCCTCCCCACCCAGCCCTCTTCATTTCCCAAAGCACTCATTTTATCTTTAAAAAAAGTGTGCGTGGGTGTTTGTGTGAAATATGTATTGGGTAACGTGAACAGACTTATTGTGAGAAGAAAAGTGGGAGGAGTTACTGCCAGAAGAAGGTTGGAAAATACCATTCCAGTCAAGCACTATTAGAAGTTAGTTCCAAGTATTACCTGTATTTTTAGTCCCTTTTGTAATTATAAAGATATTGTGTCAGGCTTTTCCTAGTGTCCAGGTCATCTTGGATTGTTCCCAGTTCCACTGCCTTCTCACTTGACCTTCAGTCCTGCATTTCCGACAGCCTATTGGACATGGTCCCTTCATCTGCTCACATTCAAGTCATCAAACTCATCCATAAATCATCCACCTCTTGCATTTTCTCAGTCCTTGCCAGTGACCCCATCATTCTCTCAGGTGCACAGCTTCAAACTTGTGGAGTAAATTTTTTTTACTTTTCCTTCCTAGCTAATCAATCACCAGTTCAGCTTGATTTCTTTACTCCTATACGTATATATTGTTCACTCACATCTTTTTTCTCTGTTTTCCTAGTGCCCCCATGCCAGTCCTCTCAGAGCATTCGATGCCTGGGATAGCTTCCTTAGTAGCCTCATGGCTCCATTCATTTCTGATCTTACTCATTATTCCAGATTAATTCTACCTAAATGCTCCCTTTCATATGGTTACTTTCCTATACACAACTGTAGATGGTTTCCACTTGGTTTTGCAACCAAGTCTAAACTATTCTGCTTTGCTTTCAAGGCTCTTCAAAATCATCTGATTCCACTCTTCTTTCTAGTTAGATCAGTCCCTTTCCTGTCACATAAAAATAGTGCAATTCCAGTGTCTGTATCTTCATATGAACATGTTGAGTGGACCTGGCCTAAAACAAACTATCTCTCTGTCTACTTCAGTCTTTTCCCTCATCTTTTCTCCCCTGTTACCCCAAGTTCCTCACATAGCCAAGTACTTGTAATTCCCTGAAAACACTTGTCTCTGGGCCTTTGCACTTGCTTTCCTCTTCCACCCTTGGTCTCTTCAAACTGAAGCTGCACCTCCTGTGTTAACTCTTCTTTATCCTGCACTCCAGGCAAAGAAATCATATCTTAGTTTGAGTTGCCATTGCATCCTATACTTACTTCTATTATAGCCTATATTGTACAATATTATAATGTTTTGATTACATTTGTCTGATTGCTCTTTTAAATTTGAGCTGCCCTCTCAGAATAGTTTTAGGCTTGGTTTCAAAACGAGGTCCCTGACCTCCCATAACACTCAGTTGTTTTGTGCTCCTGGTGAGTCACTTTAGTAAGACTATACGTATTTGCTGGATAAATGAATAAGTAAATTTCTACCTAAATCTTCCTCATTCTTCAAGACTTAACTAAAACCCAAATACGTCTCTGAAGCCTTCTTTGACTTCTTTAGACCTCCGCCCCTTCTCTGATAGTTCTTATGGTTGAGACTATAAAAATTAGGATGATTTCTTTAATTGGATAGCAAGTTCCTTGAGGGCAAGGGACATATATCTATACTGTCTCTGTCATTGCACTGGATCACAGTGCTGAGCGCAGAGTAAAATCTAAATAAACATTTACTTAGAGTTATGTAAATTCTATTCTCAGGAAAATAATGACAGCTAATAGTCTATTTGGAAAACTCTAAATTTTTTCTAAATATAATTGAGTCATTAAATACTAATTCATTTAGAAAATAATTTAGTGAATACCAACTAACATACTGGCACCAAACCAGTGGTTGGGATTCAGGTATGAATTCTAACAGTAAAGAAATTCTTCCCAGGTAAAGTTAGTATTGCTTCATTGAAGCTGTGTACATTTTTTTCCACTTTTAAATTTGTAAATTTATAATTGTTTTTTTTCTCTCCCTAGGATATTTTTTTATTGATTTTGAGAGAGAGAGAGAGAAAAGTGTATGTGTGGGTGGGGAAGCAGAATGTGTGTGTGTGTGTGAGAGAGAGAGAGAGAGAGAGAGAGAGAGAGAGAAACATTGATGTGAGAGAGAAATATCACATTGATTGGTTGCCTCCCATATGCGCCCCAACCAGGTTTCAAACCCATGACCTGGGTATGTGCCCTGACCAGGAATGGAATCCACAACCTTTTTGGTGAATGGGATGATGCTCCAATCAACTGAGCCACCTGGCCGGGGCTAAGTAGTTTTTCAGTGAACACCAGATTATATTGTTTTGGGGGGATAGGATCTTATAGCTCTTCCTGGCTGATTGTTCTCATAGGAGCATGAATTCTTTTTTGTTGTTGTTTGTTTGAGATTGTCATAGTCAAGAAATGGGGAGAATGAATTTGGAATGATCTAGTCTAATTTTTTTTTTGTCCGATCTAAGTCCAGAAATTAATGGGTTGGATAATCTAAGTAAATTGTGTGTGTACCAAAACTTGAGTGCTCACTAGCTTACTTAGAGTCACCAGATGTCACTAATTGGTATCCTTCAAGAGTCTGTGATGACACCTCACCAGAGTCCCAGGAGTATCAGCAGGCACACTCAGGGTAGAAGGGTAGACACTGTCCTGTGTGGTTCAGTTTCAACCATTTGCCACATCTTAAGCCAACTGTCTCACTCCTGATTCAAACCTAAGTTGAGTTTCTTGTCTTCCTCTTTCTTTATGCATTAGTTTCCTCAACATTTCTTAGTAAATACTATAGGCCAGAAGTTGTGCTTGGTGCTCAAGATAGTTACATAGGTAAGACAACTAAATCCCTGCCCTCAATGAGGTCATTTAGATAATTGTATAGAAATTATATTCCATTGTAGGAGTAATATTCAAATATTACCTCACATTGCCTTTGAAAAGCAAGATTCTATATATGAATATGTCTTGTCTTTGGACTAGGATTCTTTGGATCAATAGACATGTATAAATAAAAATCATTATTAATATTAATACTATTTCTGTCCTATCATATGAATATTCTCTAAGAAAAAGATGAGGAACTGCTTACATACCTAGAATAAGTGTTAAATAGTAATGAGGTCATGTTCTAGTAGTAATTAGGTATTAGGGAAGCAAAGTAACTCTTACAGGACTCTAAATACCGGTAATTCTCTACAAAAGTAATACACTTCAAGCACATTATTCACATAGTATTATAGGGTTACAGCTAGCAAATGTCACCCTGGGGCTACAGCTGTATCCACATTTTGTGGGGCCTGAAGCTCATAAATGTGGAAGGTCTGCATAAAAAAAAAAAAAATTAGACCCCAAAGTTAGGGATAGCTTATGCAAATGAGGAGCCTTGAAGCTTAGGCTTCATCTGCTTCACAGAAAAGCTGAGTGGTAGGCACATAAAAATTGACTCATCTGTCATACTAGGGAAAGACTTGGACATTAGGAAGAATAGTATTCATTAAGCTGATATCAAAAAGTTTATAATAAATACATTACCTGTAAAATGAATCTGTAAATTGACCTTAGCAACATCTTTATTTTATCTTTATTCTATCAGCTTTTATTCAATTATTTGGCTTTCTTTAAAATTAAAAAAAAATCACAGGTATTCATTGAGTATAGATCATAAATACTTTCTTTTTAAAGCTTTAGCCTGTAGACCTGTGCTGTCCGATACCATAGTCATTAGCCACATGTGGTATTGAGCACTTGAAATGTCACCAGTACAACTGAGGGACTGAACTTTAAATTATATTTAATTTTAATTAAAAAAACTGATATCAACTCAATTTTACAAAATTGAATATTACAAAAAATTTAAGTAGGTTTAGAATGACTTGTGCATGTCAATCTACTTTTTAAACTATAGGTTTTATAAAATATAAATGTAAATTAATTATTTCCTAGAAAAATGTAGTAGCTAAATTGAGATGTGCTGTAATTGTAGAATTCACACTGGATTTTCAAGGCCTACTATGACAAAAAGAATGTAAAATATCATATAAATAATGTTTATATTGATAACATGTGGAAATGATGATGTTTTCATTTATTGGTTAAATAATGTACATTTAAAAAGTTAATTTTTCTCAGTCTTTACTTTTTAAAAATATGGCTACTAGAAAAATTTTAATTACATATATGGCTAACATTATATTTCTATTGGACAGTGCTGCTTTAAACTCTGACTGTTTTTCTTAAAGGCAGTATATAATTTTTGAAACCACTTACTTAAAAGATAAACTTAGGAGAATCGTGGTAGATGGAAAGCAATTACTAAGCATTACTCATGGGGCATTTTACCTTACTTGAGGTGGTGGAATTCCTACCACTATGCAATCCAACTGTACTCTGGTTCCTTCTGGAACTTCTCTGCTCCATAACTTTTGAGTGAATCGGGGAGGTTGCCCCAGAGGTTCTTCATAGTACAAGGATGACGGTGAAGACCCTGGGGTGGTGTCTCCACCAGCTGCCTCACTGGCAGCCTGCTCAGCCTCACGCCGCTTGGTTTCCTGCTGTTCAAGGGCATGATTCACTTCGTTATCTCTAGTATCTGTAGGGATGGGAATGGGAACAGATGATCTTTCTCTTTTTTCTGATAGAGCTGAGAAACTGGAGCTATTTTCCTGTATAACTTTGTTTTGAGATTCCAACTTGCTCTTGTGGTTTTTGCAGGCCCGGGGTCTAATCCTTTTGGAGCTATGGGCTTTGAAAAGGGAGGACAGCTCTTCAATAAAATCAGCAGCCTTATTTAAGAATAGTTTTTTGGACTGAGCCTCAGAACTATACTGTGGCCTCGTTGCCTCTTGAGGGCTCTCGATAGAGCTGGTAGGACTTGGAGAGTTATCCTGGCGGAAGTTAGGATCAAAACTTGATTTCGATGGGTGTTTCATCTGATCAGAAGAAAGACGTTTTCTAGCTTGAGCTTCATCTGCTTTCTCCAAAGGGTCATGATTGATCGCCAGTCTTGCCAGATTGACACTTTCATCTAATTCTTCTTGGCTCAGAAAAGCTGAAAGATCTGGAAGGTCATCTTGGCCTCCTCCTCCTTCTGCAGCTCCAGAAGGACTGCCAAAATGGAAAGGGTTGGAAGAAGGCTCTGCTCGGCTCCTCTCATTGTTTCCCCGATGTCTGGTTTCTGCTAAATAGCTCTCTCTGAGGAGCTGAGAAATGGAAGTAGAAGCTTCTATGCTGTCGTCTTGCATGCTGTGAGAAAATAATAATAATAAGTTTGGATCATTTCCAGAGAACAATAAGTCTATGTTTACTAAAGCATGGTGGATTCCTAAGAACTTAAAGCTTGAAATAAACAATTGCCTAATGTTGATACTTTTACAAAATTTACTATGAAGACTTAAAGATTATTCTCAAATTGTAAAATGAAGAGAAACTGAATGAGATTTTACTGAAATTGAAAATAAAAACATAGGTGTTACCACTTTATTAAATTCCTTAAATGTAAGTTCAACTGTGAAAGCTATGCTATAGCTATAGTAACATTAAATAAAATTTCTAAATATAATTTTGATAATATCTGTTAAGGGCTTTTACTTATAAAGCACTTTCGTACACAGAGATTTGCTCTCCATCCTCTCCTTTTACCTTGAATGTAATAAAAGAATAAAAATTAAAAGATATTGACAATAATCTCAATTGGTTAGTGAAATTATAAACTTGATCTAGCTAATGAAAATAAATAATGCTTTTGTTTTAAGAAAACTAGAAACAGTTGTTTAAATTTGCTGTTGTTTATAGGTTTAATCTGCTCTTGAAAACTATAATGATTTAGCCTTTTCAAATAAGGTATAACTAATTTAATTTCTATAAAGATATGAGTTAGACCCTATGTTTTAAAATATCTCTTAAATTAACATTGGTGAAGAAAGAAGATGGGAGACAGGAAAGTGGGGGGCAAGACAGGACACTCTTCACTTTATACCCTTTCCTGACTTTTCAATTTTAATTATATGAACACATTACCGATTCAAAAAATAAATATCTTAAAGCTTAAGAAAATAGTACAGTAACCTTAGTTCTAAGTCCCCTGGACTAGAGGGTTTGGTAATGCAAACCAATGTTATATTATTAATATTATATCTACTTATTCATTCACACACTTACTAGAGGGATGGCAAACTTGTGACCCACAGGCTGTTACTCCTCTCTGCCCTCCTTATAAAAGATGTAGCTAACTGATTACAGTACTTTTTCCATTGACCTTGACTTTCTTAACACTCCACTCCATCTGCTACACCAATCAATCAGAGATGGTAATGGAGATGAAAACTATTTACCATTCTGCCCTCGCCCGGTTTGGCTCAGTGTATAGAGTGTTGGCCTGTGGACTGAAGGGTCCCGGGTTCTATTTCAGTCGAGGGCACATGCCCAGATTGCAGGCTCAATCCCCAGTAGGGGGACTGCAGGAGGCAGCCAATCAATGATTCTGATCATTGATGTTTCTATCTCTCTCTCCCTCTCCCTTCCTCTCTGAAATCAATAAAAAAAAATTTTTTTTTTTTTAAAAAGCTATTTACCATTCGTGGCTACTAACTGCTGGGCCTTGTGCTGGGAAAATGGAGAGGAAACTAATCTCCTAAATCTTTTCTGGTTTTTATGACAAAACTTATTTCAGTTCACTCCTTATATGATAGTCACACTTGAATCACAAATAAAACGTCCTAAAGTTCTCAAACTTTTAGAATGGTATTCAAAACTAACCTCTAAATTGGCAAAGTGGGCAATGACCTTGAGAGGGCAATTAGAGATGGCTAAAAGGATTACCTACAGCAAATATTTTTCCACATGCTTGCTGCAGCCTTAGATTTCTACTACTGGATCCATTTATTTGGGTGAGAAGTCTATTCTGTCTTAATAAAAGATTAATTGGCAATGCAAAGATATTGGATGGGTACAAAGATTTATCTACAAAGATGTTCATCATAGTATAGATGGTATTAAAAAATTGGGATCATGTCCAATAACAAATTAGTTAATTAAATTATGATATCAGATAGAACTATATGGCTATGTTAAAGTTTGTACAATTGTGAATGACATACAAAATAGTACATGAAAGTATAATTGACGTCCCAATTGAAAATTTGTCTCATTTGCCCTAACCGGTTTAGCTCATTGGATAGAGCGTTGGCCTGCGGTCTAAAGGGTCCCAGGTTCGATTCTGGTCAAGGGCAAGTACCTTGGTTGTGGGCACATCCCCAGTGGGGAGTGTGCAGGCGGCAGCTGATTGATGTTTCTCTCTCATTGATGTTTCTAACTCTCTATCCCTCTCCCTTCCTCTCTGTAAAAAAATCAATAATATATATTTTAAAAAAAAGAAAATTTGTCTCATTTGTGCATTAACTATGCAGAAGAACAGTTAAAGATATATGAAATCAGGTACAAAATGCTATTTGAAAATACAATTAGTGTACTAATTGAAAATCCTTTTCATTTGTTAATCAACTAATTCCTTAGCCTAGTTTGAGTTTCTGTATATATTTAGATGTGAGGAAGAAAACTGAGAGCTTTATGAATCAGGATGGCCTTCTCCCTATTTGTTTGACATTACTCATACTGTGTTTTAATGTACCTTTGTCTCTAACTATTTAATATGGCTTTTATCTTGAGCAATATGGAATGAACAATGGCCTTAGAATCAGATTTTTCAAATTATGGCTTCATTTCTCAGCAGTTATATAACTTTGAGAAATTTACTTAACTTCTCTAAACTGGAATTCTCATCTGTAAAACGTGGATAATATCTATTTCCCAGGGAAGTAAGGATTAATAACATAATGAATGCAAAGCCCTTAAAACAGGACCCATTATAATGGGCACTCAAACAATATTAGTAAAAATTAATACTTAGGTAAAGGAGATGTTAATGTTGAAGAACTTTTAAAAAGCTTATATTGACTCAGCCAGTGTGGCTCAGTGGTTGGCCTATGAACCAGGAGGTCATAGTTCGATTCCCTGCCCAGGTTGTGGGAGTGCAGGAGACAGCCAATCAAGGATTCTCTCCCATCATTGATGTTTCTATCTCTCTCCCTCTCTAAAATCAATAAAAATATATTTAAAAAAATAAAAAGCTTATTTTAGGGTGGAAATTGAAAAGAAAATACTCATATAAGTAATCACTGCTCTCTGCAACTATTTTTTCGTTTTTAAAGAAGCTAATTAATGTGTAACTGTGTGTCTGTTCTGATGCTTATGGTCATGAGAAATTATTATGATAATGAAACTTCAGGTATTCAAAATAAAGAATTTCTTTAATATTTTAATGTAGTATTTATTACCTAACACCTGGAGTTAGATAGATCTGGTTTAAATCCAAGTTCTGACACTTCTTAGTTGTATAAATTCAAGAAAAGTTAACTTCTGTAAGCTTCAGTTTACTCATTTATTAAACAGGTATAATAACAGTAGCCATCTCATAGGTTGAAGTAATGCTTAAATGTGTTTGGAATTTTGTAAATGTTCAATAAATGGTAGTTACTATTATAATTATTGTTATTGTTATTATCATTTAATAGATTTAGCCACATACCATGATAAGAAATGGAAGTAGGCCCTAGCCGGTTTGGCTCAGTGGATAGAGCATCCGCCTGCGGACTAAAGGGTCCCAGGGTTGGATTCTAGTCAAGGGCACATGCTTGGATTGCGGGCTTAATCCTTAATAGGGAGCATGCAAGAGGCAGCCGATCAATGATTCTCTCTCATCATTGATGTTTCTATCTGTCTCCCTCTCCCTTCCTCTCTGAAAGCAATAAAAATATTTTAAAAAAGAAAAAAAAATGGAAGTAGAACTAGTGAAGTGACTTGATCTAAGGACAATCTTTAACGAGAAATTTAACTTTTGATTTGAAATACATGTAGTTTCATTAACAAACTGAGCTGCTCTCAGATCTTTGTACATATTGTCTTTGTTTGAGCTGCTCCCTGTCCCCACCTCCCTTTACTACCTTACTGGGCCAAGTCCTACATGGCCTTCAGTTCTTAGTGGAGACATCCCTTAGGGGTTTCTTCTTTTCTCTGGGTTGGGTACCAATATGCTCGTAAAGCTCACACTTCTTACCCCCAACAGCACTTATTACAATATATTAAATCTGGCTGTTTACTTTCCTGCCTACCTCACTTAGTTTTGTACACCACCATCTCTGTACACACACAGCACATAGAAGGTTGTCAATAGATATCTATTGAGTTATTTTGTTCATTAGAATATCCTTCTAAATCAATTGCTGTATTTCTTTTTTCTTAATTGCAGGAGAAAATAATATAAACAGAAATCATGTTTTCAAAGAAAACTTACAGGTACAGAAAAAATATAAGTACGTTTTACATATAAAATATAAATATGTACATGACTTCTAGGTGACTTTCAAATGTAAATTTATTCATAGTGGATAAAATAAGTAGTGCGATTAAGCTTTGTTTTCATCCCAGAAGTATCAAAGACCATCTGATTATAATCAGAAACCTGGGTTTGTATCTCGGCTCCAACACTGAATAACTTTGTATTCTTGAGCAAGTCATTTAATGCATCCGACTCTCAGTTAGATGATAAATATTACCTAAAATAGGAAATAGGAAAATGTATCACTTTCTCTTTCAAGCATTAATTTAAAATCTGTTATAAAATTTGTACTTTTAACAAGCCCAAGTGCTGTCATGTATACTCTAGCTTTCTGATAAATATTTATTGAGCATCTACTATGTGATATTCTGGGCACTGTGGATTCAACAGTGAACAAAGGACAAAGCCCCTACCCTTGTGGAGTTGACAATCTAGTGGGAAAGATATAAATATTAAGAAGAAAAATGAAGTCGGGCAAGGGAATCGAGAATGATGGGGAAGGAAGGGTGGTGTGCGCTTTTAGCGGTCAAGTCAGGCAAAGCTTCTGACACAGCGGAGAAGTTCTCCATGTGACCACCTGGGGGAAGAATGTTCCTGAAGAAGAAAGTGTCAAAGCCAGGACAGGTAGATGTTTGCTGTGTCTGAGTCAAGCCCAGTGTGCCAGGAGGTGAGTGAAGTCACAGAGGTACAAGGCTAGATCATGTAAGGAATTGCAGACCAAGGAAGGACTTTAAGTTTTATTAAATGTGTGAATGCGACACCATTTTAAAGTTTTGAGAAGCAGATGAAATGGTTTTGAAAAAGTTCAATCGCGGCTACTATGCAAAGAATCAAGTTAAAGGGGGCAAAT